CGCATGAGTCATTTTACTCACGTGTGCGGCGGATTTTCGTTGAGTAATTTGACTCATGCGTCATTTTACTTGAGAACTCCCGTGTGCGCCGGGCTTTAGACTTAGTATAGTAGGCCAATTTATTTCGTCGTTTGAGACCGTAGTAATGAGGAGGGGAGTAGAAGCCCCAGCAGCGCCGGTGTCGATCTACGCGGCTAGGGATTCCCCCGACTACGTCCACTTAGTCATCACGCGAATTCTACATTAATCGCATTTCCATCTCATCCTTCCTCGCTCGTCTCATCGTGTGAGAAAGCTCGTGTTGCACATGCAGTGTTTAAAGGAATACTTGACTCTAGGTTCTAGGGTTATTTTCAGTTGATTTATGCTAAAATTACGCTTCATAAAAAGTTTTATGGTTCAATATTTATTAGAAATATTATTTTTTTTAAGTTTTACAACTGACGGCTATATACCGTTGCTTACAACGACGGTGACGCCACTGGCAGCGCACCCACTGAAAAGTTGCGCAAAACAACGTTTCGTCTGCAGGCTACAGACCGAGAGTGTTTCTTATTTATTAATTTAAGAGCAGAAGATTTGCAATATCTTATAAACGACATAAAGTTTCAGTTATAATATGGATAAAATTGTCCTAAAGCGATTTAATTATAAATATAATTGCACTTTTGTGATTAGCCCTCGGTCTGTAATGTGCAAAATATTTTGGCGAATGCGCAACTTTTTTAGGGTGGTAGCATGATCGCGGGTGTCATGTCAGCGCCCAAAAATAAAGATTTTGAAATTCAATGTCGTTTTATGACACATGAATGCGTAATTATAGATATTTATAGGTACGTATGTGCTATTATTTATAAATCTACTATCATAATATACTCTCAAATTCTAGAGAAAAGTATTTCTTTAATAGAGACGGCAGCGAACGTTAGTCTACTATATGACATTACAATATCAGCGCGTGACGTGTGACGCGTGACCTCGTGACCCACGCGTGACCCCGTGACCCGCACGTGACATGGCGTGACCTCGTGACCCGCGCGTGACCCCGTGACCTGCGCGTGACCTGACCCCGGTACTGCTGCTGTTGTTTTCAGCGATGGTGGACAACATGGCGGCGGCTACGGCGTCGCTATCTGACAAGCTGTACCTCGTCATCGTTCACGCTAACTACGGCGTAGACACCTTCTTCGTCGTCGGCGGCATGCAGGTGTGACGTCATCCCGCGACGCAGGCGATCGCAGACGCAAACGACGTGACGCAAATGTCGACGTGAATGATCCGAGCAAAGACGCACGCGTTGACACAAACGCCGTGACGCAAACTCTCTCTCTCTCTCTCTCTCTCTCTCTCTCTCTCTCTCTCTCTCTCTCTCTATATCCCACTGGTTAAATCACTATAAATATCATCATTCATCTGAAGTCCCAATTCACTAAAATCAATTAATTATCGCTCTGCTCTCCATCTTATACACGCACATGCACTATGTTTACATAATGCGGTTTCAACAGGGGGCCGGTGACGTCACATGACCTAGACTAATATTCATTGTTTCTTCCTGCGGATTTTGAACTGCGGGCGCCGATTGACCAATGTAATTACGTTATTGAATGGATTTATCTGTATAACAACGTTAAAGAATTTATAAAATTTGACTTCATTGTCCTGTTAAAAGTATATATACAGTTTACATTGCTTTCTAGATATCTAACTGAATAAAATATCCACTTCTAGGTTAAGAAAGTGACGAATCAATTTTTGATTACCGTGCGTGTCAGGTGCATTGGCCGTGCCCTCAACTCCCCACCAAACCCTTGTGATATAAAAACTTATTGTTATGCGTCATAAAAACACTGCTGCATTACATGCCGGCCATGGTGCAATCGATTTTCTTAGACTGTCGCGAGTTTTTGCTCGTGTGGCGAATCATGCGTTTAGGGAGTTCATTGCAGCTCTAGATGTTTGGCATACCTTCTACCGACTCTACTTGAGAACGGGTCGTATTATGTGCCTCCCGTTTACCAATCTTATAAACTGCGTTCGGCTAACCGTAGTATTTCAGCGTCAATATGAGGGGAAAAGTGCCGGTCAGGGACCGGAGTTTTGGTAGAGATGGTGGCGCCCGAGCAAAAACTTGTGGCTCGCGGGCCTCCCCCCGGTCGTCGGAACTAATTTCTAACGCCAGCCGCGGCAATCCACAGGCACCTATAATCTAACATCGATCCCCAATGCCGAGCACGCGCGAAGGTGTGCGAAAGGTAACACACGAATTTCACCGGACTTTTATCAATCGGACCTTTTAGATAAAAATGTGAAATGTTTCAATTAAATACATGTGCATACACGTTCTTAGTTTGTATTGTTGTCTCGCCGTCTTTGTGGTTGAACTGTCCAATCATGATTTAGCAGCGTATATAGCATATATTCCATATTTGTAAAAATTAACGAGTTCCCACCCCCGTTCGAAAAATGGCGGCTGACTTGTGTTTAGAATTTTGTCGCTATCAGGTGCCGGCATTGCTCCATGACTTGCACGCCAATGACCGCCATTTGTACGTGTGGGAACTGTTAATTTTTACTGGCGACGGATTTTAACTCTCCTAACGCTTGTCAAATATCATCCGACAGGTGCAAACATATACAGGGGAGGTTTAAGTAGCGAACAAGTAGGAATAACGGGGATGTGCATATTTTCTATTTGAGAACAAAAACTTTTCATATGATATCGGACATTCCTGAAATTGTGTGTCTACTCTCTCGACACCTTCGTGGCTCGCAATAGGGGCGGGGGGGATCGTGTTAGATACAGTAAAAACGCCGCGTATTCACACATAGAGATCTTTTCCAAGTTACCTCAACAATGTTCTATATAAATGGTGCTTACTGAAAAATTCGGCTCAAAAAGGTTCTTAAATAGTTCTTACTTGTTTCTACTTTTAAGTCTGTACTAGCTGAAAACCCGCGGCTCCGCGGGCATAGTGACGTGTGATGCAGTGTTACCAGTAACAAGGTAAGTGTTTTATGTTTAAGTGTTCTTTTATGCGAGTCTTTTTACTGTATAATGTAATAATGCAGTACTGTGTCTTCAATAACAATGCCAGGGTGCTGGCATTGTTATTCGTTGAGCATCTGCATTGGCGATTGGCAATTGGCATTGTTATTGCATCGGATATTGTTGAGCCTCGTCTTTTAATTTTACTGTGTTATCTTTTAAGTCTTGCCATCTGCATGGAAAATTAAGAACCTATTTTAAAATCTTAGCCTAAACAGGTTCTTATGTAAAGGGGCTAATGGGAAATTTTAGCACTAACATGTTCTTAAAATCTACTGTTCTTATACGCGGGGTTTTTACTGTATATGGTGCCCGTGGGCGCACGGGAGCGATTTATCTCTTGCTATCTTCCAAAATTTTTCTCTCGTAATTGTTGTTAGCCGAGATCGCTTTGAAAGCTGACGGGCTATTACGATACGAACACTCTACATATGATGGATTTCTAAATAACGTTTTCCCATAACAATGGCTGGTCTGGGCTTGTGAAATTAGGTCAGGGCTAGTGTTTTCCTCAGTTACGTACCGATCGCTATGCAGCGAAAAAATACGGGTTAGAAATTAGTTAGGCCTTAGAGTTAGGTTAGGTTAGGGTTAGTGTTAGGGTTATGGGTGCACATTCCTTGTAGTACTAACTACAAGTCTGGCTACACTTTATGTAATACATATCACATATATGTAGCCTCGGACATCTCTTAGTACCTGTTACAACCAACACCCGTTGATCAACATCATTTTGAGGTCACTCATACCCCCTTGTTTGCACTCTGCAGAGGCAGTTTTACATGATATCATTATCTGTAAAAGTCTATGTATATCACATATCCTTTGTCACCTTGATATCCTGTGAACCTCACAAATAGAATAGTTTTCGATATCTGGTTTGCCTTCACAACCACACGCTTTTGCTTTTTTAAGACGGAAAACCATGTCAAAACTTTTAGATTTGCTCGTTCTCCATTTCCTTAGGCTCCATTACCAAACGCAACATACTACTTCAAACAAAGAATACCCTGAGCTGATTCGTAGACTGTTACCCGTCCCACTCTCGGCTTTTAGTTACTCGATGGGTAATTCCCATCGAGTAATCGAGGGGGAGCGAGTACCCAAGTCTAAGCTGTATTCGCTGACTACGCATATCTATAATGGCCGTCCGTACTTCGTTTAGCCAAGCAAACGGCGTTTCCCTGGTGGGTGTGGTAACTACACCGGACGGAGTGGAGCTAGCCAAAATCAGGCCTTGCCAAAACAGCGAAACATGGCTATTTAGACGAAATTGGGAATTGAAACTTTATTTGAACCTTGGGACTAAAACTTTTCATGCTGGGAGTTTGATACTATGTTAGTGCTAGAATTGTAACCACACACACACGGCACGCATGCTGTATGTATCGATATATACGTTTTATATCCCAGCTAACACTTTTTTCCGGGCAAACGTTTGGAGTGCATGGTTGAATGCACGATACGTACTTTAATTACCTTCCTTTTTAAATCATAGTGACACATGGACTAATACCCGTTGTTAGACCCTTACCAAGAATAGACTTAACCACGGAGGAAGTAAAATGGTTGGATGATTTCCAATAGAGTGGCTTGCGCAAATAATAAAAAACATAGTAACAATAACACCACTGCACTGGGTCTGGAAAGCACTAATATCTAACCAGAGTACCGAAACTTGCCGATGAATAGCCCCTATTTATATTTCTATTTTATAATAGAATACAAAACTCATACTCCTTTGTAGTTGGGTTGGATATAGATTCTACATAGTTCATGGAAGAGAGATTTATATCAGGGCAGCCAACGAGGAAGGAAACAATTGGGCCAAACAAAATTAACTAATTTTAAATAACTTATACGACCTGGAAATATCATTTACGTCCCATAGGGTTAAACCCAAAAACAGCCTGAAAAAAACAAGTCTAAGAAGGCCATCTTGAAAAGCCGTAATAATATAAGAGACAAACTAAAAAACATACAAAAACAAAAAATGGAGATTATAGACATTCGAAAGCATGGCGAAGAATATATATGAAAGAAATGTAACTTTGCAAGACTCGTGTTTCTGCACTTTAAATGAAAAACTTACATTATTGAATTAAAATTCCTTTAGAAATGACGCGGTGTAATTTATGTCATATGAATATTAAAGTAGACATGAACATTTATATAAAGCAATAAGCTAGCTATAATAGAATATCACGACGGTACGCTGAACATATTATGTAAGTTATAATTAATATTATAAGTTATTCTTGCAGCGCGCGTATTTTCAGAAGTGCCGTTTTGACATTTGTTTGCAAACAGACACGATTTTTTGTTTTCATCGCAATAACATTGAAAACGAACAAGATTACTACAACCTCGAGTAACAGACAATGACGGCATCGTGGGCCGCGTGAGTAACATGTGATATTAAATGTAAACCTAGATCAAATGATTTTCATAAATAATACAAGGAGTGATAATAACACATCTACCTATTTATCTACTATACTCTTGCATAAATACAATAATAATGGGTTAGCTTTCGATCTTTGTTTCAGTGATACCAGTACATTATCTTGCTCACTCTCGGGCAATGTTGCGTGCGTGGCGTGTGTGTG